ATAAAGGAGATGAAAGAATGCCATCTGTATTATCCTATCGGGAACATGTCCATGAAGGTAGCCATCGGCAGTGCTTTACCATGTTTACCTGGAGCACTCCACCACAACAACCCCATTCAAGATGGCTATGCTCGTGTCACGGTGGAGGACATAGTCCAAGGGTTTGAGGACCTGGAGATTGACATTGCTACACCTGAAGGGGAGAAAAGACTTGGAGATGTCAAGCGCCATTTCATTCTATGGCAAAAGAAGTTTATCAAGTTTCCAGGCGAGGCGCCAAGGACAACAAGTCCACCCCCCTACGGTGGTGGTGGTGGCGGTGGCGGTGGTGGTGGTGGTGGTGGTGGTGGCGGTTCACCTACACCTCCGTCACGTCAGCCGACGCCGCCCCCCAGTCCACAACGTCCGGCGGGTGATCAGCCGCCGCCCCCCAGTCCTCGTCCGGCGGGTGATCAGACGCCGCCCCCCAATCCACCTTCGGCAAAGAAGCAGAAGCAGTCCTGGATTATTAACCCGGACCCTTATGTACCTAAGACCACAAAGGTACCGGAGCCATCACTGAAGCCTCTCCCCACAAGGCCTTGGGAACGTAGTGCCGAGGAAGTCGACGCGGCCGCGGCTGCTGATTTGGAGAAATGGAAGGCGGACTGCAAGAAGAAAACAGAGCCCGAGCCCAAGCCAGTATTTTCTGATGAGCAAAAGAAGTGGGCTAAGTCATTTTTGAGCACACCGTCCCAAGCCGCGAAGAATCTGCCTAACGACTATGCACGTGAACTTCGCAGGCAGGCACTCATGTTCAAGGAGAACAAAGAGCGGGAGAAGGCCGAAAGTAAAAAAAGCGGGAAACAAGTTGCCCAGCTCGGGGAACAAAGTAAACAATCGATTGCCCCGCTTATAGTGGAAGCCTTCTGTCCGGATGCCCCCGAGATCATACAAGCTGCGGCAGCACAGGGATTGACTGTAACGAGTGCCAGAGAACAAGCGGCCAACTTAGGTATTACTCTTCGTGAACTGTTAGGCCTTGATGAGGCGCCAGTGAAGGAGGTAGTAATTACATATGTCAAGAATGGGCCTCTCGTCGAGCCTGCGCAGGAAAAGGATCTACCTCCACAAATGAAAGGTCTGCTAAAATGGTACAAGGGTTACATAAAAAATAAAAACGCCAAAGAATATATTTATGCGGAAGTTAGACATGAGCATCACTTCAAACATTACTATGTACAAATTGAACTGAGTGAATTGTTCCAGCTTTTCAATCTGCGCGAGCTCGATAAATCTATCATCAGTTGCTACGTTCTGTAAGTGATTTATTAATTTCTATCCCATCTCGTTCATATTGCCTGCACTATATATATGTCCTAACTATATTGTTGTGTCCGCTATTATACATGCAGAATGAAGATTAAGGAATGCAGAGTAAGGAACATCCATGATGTTGGGTTCATTGACCCACACATCGTTAATGGACATGTGTTGGAGCGTTACCCCGCCGACGTGGAGGCAGACCTGTGGCAGTTTCTTACAAAGCAGGAACTCAAAAGTGATATTCTATTTCCTTACCATTTTGAGTGAGTGTTTCTGTCTTGAGCACATTCTCTTTTGTTTACTCCATGCATGGTATGTGGCCGGCTAATCGATGAGTTATGCATGACGTACTGTGCATGTATCGTGTCCGTAGGTTCCACTGGATTCTGCTAGTAATTAAAGTTAACACCTCAGAATGTCTCGTCCACGACTCTGTGAATATGGATCCAAAGCTTTGGGGCGGCATGAGAAGAATGCTGCAGAAGTAATTATTTTCATTCATTTGCGCTCTATATCGATCGGCCTATTTCGTTCATTTCCTAATATCAAGTAACTAATTAATAACTCTCTTGTTCATTTAATTTTCTTTGCCTCGTAGGGTTTGGAGACGGTTCGTAGATACAAAGGTCGGTGAATTCAAAAAAGAGCTAGAATTCAAAATGTTAAAGGCTAAGAATGCTGGGGATATTCAGCCACCGGAGATCAATCTATGTGGATACTATGTCTGTGAGATGATCCGGAGATACACCTCTGAGCGGGTTCCGAGTGATACCAATGCTCAGAGGAATAACCTCCGGTGGATGCTTAGTCCAGAAGCTCGCTTCCGACCACTTCAAAAGGAACTAGCTGGATGGTTCAGCAGGGAAGTCCTCCATCCTAAAGGAGAACACTATTACGAGGACGTAGAACTTTATATGCATTAAATCATGTATGGAAACTTGTTCAAAATTGTATATGGTCATCCGATGATATTGAATATATATTGTATATTCCTCTTGAATTCTTTTTGGTTCTAATTTCAAATTTATTTGAAATTGTACATTCATATGCATGTATGTAGTACCGTAGAATATATGAAACTCCTTCAAAATTAAAATAAAGCACAAAAAAAAATAAAACAATACAAATTAAACAGAAAACAGGTTTAAAGGGGGGGGGGCTAAAACCCTAAACCTGCGGCGGCCTTTAGTTGCGGTTGGCCAGAAGAACCGCGACTAAAGGTCCTCCGCCCCGACGGCCACCTGGCGCCCACGTGGACGGGCCTTTAGTCGCGGTTCTTAAGCAACCGCGACTAAAGGGGGGGGGCCTTTAGTCGCGCCCGTTCGGTCGCGGTTGCGCAACCGCGACTAATGGCAGTTGCGAACCGCGACCAAAGGCCCTTTTTCCACCAGTGAAAACACCACAGTATGTCAGATGCACATTACCCATACGAATATCCAAAGTCGGACGCGTGAATTGTCATGAAAAAGGTCAGATTTGGCATGCCTAAAAATATGTACATAAAAAATAGATGTACTGCGTACCTTTGTTTTTAAATGCAAGACGTTTGCCAGTTCAAATTGTACTGAGCTGCCAAAACGTTTTACATTAAATAACAGAGGATGTACATTATACCGGCACCTTGGTTGACCATGAAAGAATTGGGTCCAAGGAAGGGGAGTATTTGCTAGCAAGATTCTACGAAAACAAATACTCTCCCTCCGTCCGGAAATACTTGTCGTAGAAATGGATACAAATAGATGTATCTATAACTAAAATACATCTAAATACATCCATCCTTCGGACAAGTATTTCCGGACGAAGGGAGTAGTACTACATCCTGAAGGTAGAGACGAAAATACGAGAGTGGCGTTTTGGCTCCTAGGTGCATATGCACCCATTGTCGAAATCCAAATTCCGAGAAGTTGAAAAATTCGAAACAAAAATCCCGCGTGTATATCCGGACATTTTATGTGCGTTCACAAGGTTTCGGTGAAAAACGACGTTTTTTGTGGCTTGTGTAAAAAAGACAATTTCTGATGCTTCATTCTAACTATTCACGAGGCATTTCTTTATCTTTTTTACACAAGCCACAAAAAACGTCGTTTTTCACTGAAACCTTGTGAACGCACATAAAATGTCCGAATATACACGCGGGATTTTTGTTTCGAATTTTTTAACTTCTCGGAATTTGGATTTCGACAATGGGTGCATATGCACCTAGGAGCCAAAGGCAATTACCACGAAAATACACATCTTACTGGAATAATCTTCTTGACACTTACCCGGAAGAAAAAATACCTTGACACTAACCAGCAAAGAATGATCTACAGACACCCACGGAGTAGACAACACACGGCGTGTACTAATAATCGCTAAAATAACCGCAATTGCCAAATCTAGCATCAAGAATAAACATTGTGTTTCTCGGTACAAATAAACATGATAGCACGGAACTTGCCCAACATTGGGGAAAGTTGACAAAATATATGTCTAATCATGCAAAAAGTTTATGCACATGCTATAAAGGGGTTCACATCACAAGACACGAACTGGCGGCCAACGAGATTATAATAAGACCATCATGACATAAAAAGTCCCCACTTGGTTCTACAAAGCTCTATATAGCTGTGATATCTAAATCCACTTTGGTCGGAAGTCAGAGCCTTTCTCCAAGCCACTGTACTACTCCCTCCGTTCCCAAATAGTCTTTCTAGAAATTCCAACAAGTGACTACATTCGGAGCAAAATGAGCAAAATGAGTGAATTTACACTCTAAAGTATGTCTACATACATTCGTATGTTGTATTTCATTTGAAATGTCTACAAAGACTTATATTTAGGAACAGAGGGAGTACAATGCAAGGTGCCATAGAAACAAACCGGCATTTCTTTAAGCACGGGTGCTTATTTGCACGGAGTAGGCGCTTGATTAGGCACCCCTCCTCTAAGCACAGATGCTTAAGAAAAACCCCAGTTTATTTTACCAAGCAACTTCCTCCCTAACCACCTTGCATTGTACCAGGCCACAAGCAGGGCATAAGCAGATACAAGACATACAGCGTATGCGTAAAAGAAAATGTCAATAGTGGTCATGAATTATTCTTATCTAGACTGAGACTAATGACCAGCCTAACCAACCAAACTATGTTTCAGCATTGCATCCTACCACAGATTCTTCTTGAAATGGCAACTATTAAAACACTCGTCGCAAAAGAAACAGCTATTAAAACATACGGAGCGATGCATTCTACAACAGAATTAAAGAGAACTATGGCCTAAACTGGAAACACAAGCTGAGACAACAACATAGTACCATAAACATCCACAGCTGTGCAATGACTTCTAGACACAACATACAACAGGACAAGTTACCAAGGTACCATCTAACACACAGTTTAAACCACCTTCGACCCCAAGTACACAGGCAGTCTTCCAGATACATAACACTAGAGAGAACCTACAACTTTTCTCACTCAACTGGCCAACTCAATAGCTCACATGACCTGGTCAGCGAGTCTCCTAGATCTAAGTCGGTGACACGCACTTATGTTCCCCTGCTCCCATCTTCATAACGCAGTTCCCTGTTTTCATGATGTACAATGTTGGTAAAAGGTACACTACATTGGCAGGAGCTAATGAATCAGGAAATGGTTCAAAATGCTAAAGATTATGCGTACCTCCAATGGTAAGATAGACAGCTTAACCAGTGCCGTCTAAGGAATTTGAGGAGCAGATGGCAGGTATTTAATTTCATATGTGAGAAGTGCTGGACCAAAAGCATTGTACTTTCCTGAAGTGCTATAGGCTTGTTCCGCATCAGCATGGTTAGAGAATACTACTTTTGCAGTCTTTGATTTCTTGGTGATCTCAGTTTGACCCTCGATGATCGTTCCATGAGCACGGAACACATTGTTGATACGATCCACTGAAGGAATGGATTCTGCACTACCAAAGTACAAAATCAAAGCTGCTGGACCATCTGCTGGTTTCTTATCTGGAAGATCAGTAGAAGCCTCATCTTGAGGTGCCACTTCCTGCTTCGTCTTCTTATTGCCATTCCTATTCTGAGACACCCGCTTCCTTTTGCGGCCTTCATAATCACTTGATGTATCTCCATCGTCGAAATCGCTGATGATAATGTCACACCAGTAAGAATCTTCCGCCTTTCGAGCCGAGTAGATGCCCCCCGCGGATTTCCTCCTGCCCCTCTGGCCATCCACTGTCTCCAACTCCAATTGTTCTGCCTCAATCTCATGTTTCGCCTTGGTAAAACTTCCAACGGACTTTTTCCTTCCTTTCTTACCACCAAATATCTCCAAGAGCTCTTTATCATTCAACTCGCTCGGCGCTTTCGAGTCCTTGTGTTTTGAGAAGAAGCTAAAGATCACATCCACAGAATCATAACCCTTGAAATTGAACGGATCGGAAGCAACTGATGTAAGCTGAAGCAACAATTCGGCGGCCGATGGATACTCTATTTTCTCTTCCACCTCCTCATCCTTCACCTTTGCAGGCTGTGAGGGCTTCGCAGCAGAATCCGTTTTCCTAGGCCTCCCACGTGGCCTCCCGGTTCCGCCACTGCGTGGTGCGGCGCTACTGCTACCCCTGCCCCTCCGGGCCCTCCTACGCCCAATGTCCACATCAGTATCAGAGTCACTGGCACCCTTCTTGCGCGGGTCCCAGTCCTCATCGGAATCGGCCTCCTGGACCTCCTCCTTCCTCTTCCTCCCCCTCCGGGACGGCGGGGTCGCCGAGGAATCGCAGTTAACCTCCCTTGCGCTCCTCCTGCCCCGATCCATGGGGGGAGGAGCAGCCAAAGCATCAGCATTCGCTATACCGAGCTCCAAGGTGTACACAGGGGGGTCAGGCAGAGCCCTGAACTCATCAAAGGCCCTGAGATGCGCCTTGGTGATGGCGGCCTGCACCCGGTTGCTGAAGCCCATGCGGTCGGCGGCCAAATCCTGGAGCGAGGCGAGGAAATCCAGCGGAACGAAGGGGCGCCTGAGGGAGGCGGGGGCGTCGGCGGCGGTGAGGGCGGCCTGGACGCGGCTGGAGAACTCGTCGAGGGAGGCGTCGACGGCGGCGTCGAAGTCGTCGGCCTCGCCGTCGTAGAGCTCCCCCACGGTGAAGTAGGCCTCGTAGGGCCTGAGCTGGGCCGCGTCGCACCAGGCGAGGGCCTTCTCGCCGAAGAAGGAGACGAGGAGCTGGGTGCCGCCGGAGGCGACGGAGAGGACCTCCCCTGGCCAGGACGGGTGGG